TTAAATTGTGAAAGAAAACTTGCAAGTTAAAATTTAATTAAATTAAAATAAGGAAATAGTTTAAAACCATGTATATGAAACCAAAGATTACAGTCGCAAAATACAACAAATCTCATAAAAATTATAATAAAAATTGAAAAGTCTGCAGCAAATTCGAAAAGGATAAAAACACACACAAAAATAAATAAATAAATAAATAAAACTTGATCTAAAATGAAGTAAAATATAAGAAATAAGAATGATAATTATTAAGCTTATTACACGATACGAGTAATAAAAATGATAAATTAAAATGTTTTAGAAACAGGTTAAGTAAATACGGGAGAATTAAATGTCTAGAATAAAAAAACAAAAAAAAAATTAATAAATATAGGTGTAAAACTAAATTTTAAAATGTTCAGAATATGTATGAAATAAAGAAGCGTTAAACTAACGAAAAAAAATAAAAGCTTTGTATAAAAATTTAAGTAAATAAACAAAACAGCGAAGATAAGTATATTAAGTTCATGTAAATAAAATGGGTTTCTATGATCGGAAAATAAAAAAAAATTAAGTCTGAATGTGCAGGAAATTTTAAAAGGATAAAAGTGCAAATGAAATTAAAGCGTGTGTCAAATATTAAGAAAAATAATAAAATAAATAATTTAAACTAATCGCGGGTAAGAATGAGAATTTTCAGTTATAATGGAAAATAGTCAGAATACAAAAAAAATATAGTAATTATAGAAGTTAAAAATGCAAAAGCATTTGAAAATGTATTAAGAAAATAACTGAGGAAATTAACGCTGTAAAAAGGTTGAAAGATTGTAATCTCAGATTCTCTTACCTTACTTGCACTATTCTTTCTTATCTCCCTTCTACTTTCCTTTTCAGTTTGTTAGCTACGCGCTGCACCTGAGGGCATGCTCCACATTCCTACATCTACCCCTGAACCCCCCCTGGTTTTATATCACTAAGTTTATATTTTTCTTGTGGTGAACTTTTAATTGTAGGTACTTGCATACAGTAGCCGTTGGTAATAAAACGAGGAAAACTACACAATTTTAACTAAAAATCATAGCATATATGTTAAGAATATATTTTCTAACGATTATGTCTACGTGTATCGAAATCTTATTCCTAGAAGCAAAATCTTTTAGTAAGTACACATCTTTTATCATCTTTTATCAAAATCTTAGTAAGGTGACTATTTGAAGTCGGGAGTATTAAAAACCACGGCGATATTACTCTGCGGTATATATCAGTAATCTCTAACGAAATGTTACTTCATATCTCCAGCTAGCCTTTAGTCGTTAGCCTTAATAATAATGATGCCTCCAGCTAGCCTTAGTAATAATGGTGGCTACCATATTCAGCATTTGTTGTGACGCATTTTGTGTTCCTAATTATTGTCAAAAAATTACGTAGTAAAATTCCTTAAAAAGAGTTGTAATTTTATATATTGCGGTGCTAATATGAATTCTGTGCTGATATCATATATCTGCTTTCTGTTCTCAAAATTTTTTTATTGAGCGCTTAAGGCATGAGAAACTTCTAATGTAACCCCATGCTAAATTTCTAAAAAATATAATTTTTTGTTTATTTATGCATTTATCCAGACCGCTTTTGTTTTATGAAGGAATGTATTTATAATGAAAATATTATTTCAGATGTGTTAAAGCTAGTTAAAGAACGATTATGATAATTATTCATGATCATTAAATTCGTGATTTATTCATTATCATTATTCGTTATCATTGCTAGTGATTATGATCAAAAGAAATAATGCCTACGAAAATTCGCAGGTCTTCTTTGAAATGTGTTGAACTGACAACAGTGATTCAAAAACTTCTATTCGGTGAAAATAAAATATAGAAACAGAAAATGATCATGTATATGCGCGTATAGGAGTTGCCTTTTCATCGACGACAGACTCACTTTTCAAACACAACAATAAATTTATTGAATACTTAAATTTCACAAAAAAGAAATGATACACCAAAAGGAAATGGCGACAAGTTTCCAGTGCAGCGGTAACACGCCTTTTCACACTCAACTCCATCCTCTAACTCTTTCTTCTCTCACTCTTCTCTGTCAATGACCTGTCCTTCTTTTGGAGATTCTCGAAAGTGACTCTCAGCCAGTCGACTCCTATTAAGGAGAGGATGATTTCAAGTCCGTACGAGGTCATTATGAGCCCCTCAGCAGGTAAACAAAATGACGAGTGTCCGATGCTCTGATACTTAAGCGCTGTTTCACGCCTCTGAACTGTTGTGGTTGTGTTGTTGGAATTTTAACATTAATAAATACTATTGCCTTGATTTTAGTTATCTATTAGCTCTAGAATTAGTTGTCTTTGAAAAATTAGACAGATTGAACTTTATTGGAAGATATGTGATAAGAAAGTTCAATATGACCTGTAAAAGTAAACTAGCTCATATTAAATTACACACGGGGGAAACAAAAAAAAATTCTATGAAGTCAATTATTTCGTGACTGTCAGCTTTCATTGATGTCACCCAGTTGAGCATTGACAAGTTAATTAGCTTTTTATGGTTATTCCACCTTTTTGGTTTATGAACAAGTATGCTGTTATACATGTACAATAACGCCAAGTGTAACCCTCTTTTTTTTTTTTTTTTTTTTTTTTTTTTAACATTTAGCTGCGGTATGTTATTTAAGTATGAAAATAAAAGCTAAAAAAAAGTCTGCTACTAAAAGAAAAACAATTAATGCCATCCCAGGACATAAGCCGAATCACAGTGGAGATATTAGAGTAATTTGATCACAGTAGTGATCAGTGGAGATTAATATTTACGCATTTCTCAAGTGTATTGCTCTTCATTAAAATTGCTACCCCACGAAAGGAACTTCCCTCAAACCTGAAATATGCATAAAAAGTTGTACATACTTGAAATGCAAAGGATTAGCATTTCACGGCGTATGCGCATTACAAATAAGAGTAATGACACTTCAAAGAAGTATATGATTTTTCATTTAGTCGTCGTTCAACTCGCGTTTACTTGTTTCTTGTATTGGAGGTCATGTTATGCCTCGTGTAAGGAAGAACTCATACCAGCATATCTTAGAATTCGAACGCGGTAGAATCGTACTCTTCATGGGTCGCAATTATCGTACCGTTCAACTGCTGCTCGAATGGTCGAGATCCAATGTCTGTTACGAGAATTTGCAATGGAGAAGTCCAGGAAGCCCACAAAGCGCGAAGTGCGAGATCTCTGCGACATCCATAAATCATTCTGGTCGAGATATTAGACAATTTGTTCAAGTATATGATCGCTTTAAGCATCATACAGCCACATCAGATCAAGAAAACTGTGTATTGCACAGCACCAAGTATCCTTACGGTCGGTGCAATGATGTCTGACACCCCATGGATTAACAATCTATTGTTCCGTCAAGGCGACCATTGTTTCGGTTTCCCTTAACGCTACCGCGCAAAAATCAGCGCATCTAATGATGTGTTCAACGATGCTCATGGTCACATTAATGACGTAACATCACCTTAATTGATGAATCCTGCTTTTGCTTACAGCATTTTGATGGTCGTATCCCTGTATGAAGGCAGCGAGCGAAACAAACTTTGGAAGGTTGCGTTCTTCATTGTCATACTGGCCCAAAGCCTGGATTGACGGTATGAAGTACCCCTGGGTACACATCGCATTCACCTCTAGCCCACATTATATTTAAACAACCCCCATTACATTACTGAAATTTTGATACCGGGGCTTAATGCCTGTGCATTTCTTCGGGGCATCCATCACACTATTTTTCAACAGGACAGTGCAAGACGGCATGCTGTCCGCTTTGTCCTACTTGTCCTTAATGCATAGAATGTTCGACTCTTATACTGGCCGATGAATTCTCTAGAACTCGTACCAACCGAAAACTATGTAGAGACATTAGGATTTTTTGAAGCAGGAGAAATGTAAAATGAGCAAAGCCCTCGCCGGGAATCGAACCACGGACCTCTGGAATACGCACCCAGCGTGATGACCCCTACACTACGAAAGCATGCTAAGAAGGCGGGAGAAATACCTTATAACTATTGGTCAATTTTTGGAGAGACCCTGATCATCCGAATAACTTCCAGAAGCCAGTACGATCGATGAACTCTGCTTTAACTGCAATACCATTAAATGCCAGCCGAAGTCTGCTCAACTCTGTGTTCAGCAGTACAATAGCTGCTGTTTTTAACAGAAGCGGATGCTCGGGAAACCGATTTTTGCACATTCTTCTTTCAAAATTATCTATAATTTTAATCATTTCATACTACTTTTAAAATATATTTGTAAAATACGTATGATTCAGCTAAATACTTTTTTTCAGAGCTCAGCAATTTTATTGGCCAGCAGAGTATTAATCCCATAAGCCGCACCGCTCGCCACTGTGTTTGCAGGAAATCAGGTATTCCACTAAACGTGGCTTCATATTACACGCAATGACTCACGTGCTAGTATAAACGCTATGACGTAAAAATGTATATCTCGTTATTATAGTATAATGAAGCAACTTTTTCAGGTCATGGTCAAGTAAAAGTAACTCAAACGCATGTACATAAAACTCTGTAAAAAATACATATACGGAAATCACGCACGAAATAAGCACCCGAAAAAGAGGAAAAGGGGGGTATCGTAATTTAAGTAATTTCAAATCTTATTTCCAAATATTACTAATAATAATGCTCCAACATTAACTGTATCGATATTTCATGCTGTTGTCAAATAACAGATTCTTATGCATATGTTACAAATTATGATCAACTCAAAAAAAAACTGATATTATAGTTAGGATCCCATTTCATTATTTGCAAAACAGATCAGCTGAATATTTGTATGAAACTAATGCCACCAAATATCTTGTTGATATTTAGCACCAGTCAATTACGTTTTATAGAAGATAAAAAAAAAATAATGAAACACTCATTTCAAAGAGGAACACATTATCTGAAATCAAATCTATTAGTTTTTAAATAAATAAGTGTGAATATAAGAAAGACATACCACAGAAGAGTTGCTGGTGTGGAGTGCGGTCTTAGGAGGGTATGTCCCTGCTTCGAACCTAAATAGAAGAAGTCGGGTCAAATAAATACGTCACTGCTAACATTTGATAATGAAACTAAAATAGTTTATTTATACTTTACAGAATAGACTGACCTCCAAGAAGTTCCCTGGAGCTTTCCGGCCACGAATCTGTAACGGAAATTTAAGCAAAATTGTAATTTCAAGGGAAAAAGCATTCAATCTGTAACTTTACACCAGAAAAAGTGTAAGCGATTTTTTTTTCATGATCAACGTGACATTAAAATTATTACCTCAAAAATATAACTTTTGACTGACGTAAAATTTACATCGTGATTGAAAATTGATAAATAAATACTCAGAACTGTCGCAGCTGACAACATGAAATTGTGGGCATGGATGTGAAATAGGTAATTTCGTTCATACATGAACGAAACAAAAGAATAATTGTGGGGACGGATTTTCAGTATTTTACATCAATACACTAGCACATATCCAATTGAATTAAATTCATAAAGGGGGGCATTTAAATCTTAAATGATGAATTAAACTACTGAGATTCGTAGAAGCATTAGATCTTTTAAGATTTGAAGATATGAAATTATTAACTGCGGATAATTAGAAAAACAGAAATAACAATAAAATTAGCTAATGAATAATGGATATTTATAACTTGATATTTTCCGAATGAAGAAAAGAAAAATGAAAAAGGAGTGTCATTCAATGACTAAAGGAATTTTAATTGCATGCCTAAAATATTTAAATATTTATTGCATGCCTAAAATATTTAAGATAAATAAAATTATTTCTTTCTGAGAACATTATAAATTGGTATACGTTGTAGTAAATGCCCACACTGCTAACTGTAATATGGATAGCATTTCATTAGAAAATCATAAATTTCCATTGAAATTCAAAACTTAGAAATTCTTGTTCGATACATTATGAAAAAAAGTCTTCAGGGACATTTTGGGGTAGTATTTTTTTTTTTTTTTTTTTTTTTTTTTTTGAGGAGGCATTTGGAGCCATATTTTTGACACTCTAATTATAAATTCCTGATTAATATCTGTGCAAAATTTTCAGTTGAAAAGATTATAAAGTGAAAAAAAAAACCCAAATCATTAAAAAAATGTTTTAAAGTCATTACGACAAGCATTACAAATCACAGTTCTTCAAAAGTTCTAAAGGAATTTTAAAATAACAAATGATAAATACTTTCTATAGTATTCACACTATGAGCAATAATCATTCTTCTGTTCTAATTTGTTTTATGATTGATCGAACTAAATACCAACGATTTTATGTCAATAAATACATCAGTGTACTTCTCAGTAATACAAAAATACTGGTATTCAAAATTATAACAGAATTTTCACATTTGATCGATTATCTCCAGAACTGATGTATAGATATTTAATGATATTTAGTATGAATATAAGCTGATATAATACAAAAATATATTTTACAGCAGTCATGATATGCACCCAAGATCGTGCATAAGGCTCATCGGTTTATAAAGTCTAAAATTGAGCTTGCAAGATCGAGCGAAAAAGGAGGCTATTAGTGGTATGATCCCCTCTCACAAGGGTATAATTCTCTCTAACACAAATGCAGCTCTCATGACGGGAATTAAGAAACCATGATTTAAAAAAATTAAATAAAACAAATCTTCCTGTTTTGTGTAAAATGCAATGCAGTGCATGATTTAAAGGAAACGCATATTAAAATCACTTGTTGAGGTTCAAAACTTTAATATATAGGGAGGAGGAAAGGACACGAAAATATATTGCATTTTCTGAAAGCAAAATTATTTCTTGTACAGATTCAGCTACTGATTATTCGACAGCGATGTGGAAATGCTTCACTTTGAAGAGAATTGATGAATAATTTCACAATAACAATAAAGTGCCAATATTTGAAACGGGAAATAATTATTTAAGCCTATCAAATATAATCAAGGCCCACCAGCGGCCGAGCGGTAAAATCGCTGAACACTGGTAGTTCGGTCCGAGGTTCGAATCCCGCGAACGGGCTGGCTGCATGGGTGTTTTCGTGGTTTACCCCATGTGTAAAGTGTATACAAGCCAGTTTCCCTTAGAAAGTCCTCCACGAAGGCATCCCTCCTCTTAGGCAGATAGCCCTCGAGGCTTTGCCATAATCACACACACACAAATATAATCGAGACATAATGAAATTCATGTTTTCTGTGCTGTTACATTCCATTTTTGCATTGTCATATGCATATAAGAAGGTTGCATAAGAGAAAACCAGTGTTTTTTTCCCTTTAATTTACTTAGTTTGAAATTATGGCATCTTCGAAGAAATCAAGCAAGTATTTGATATCTTCGAATTCAGACAGAGGAAACACGAGTAGACTTGAAAACATTCTGAGCTAATTCATTAATATTTATTGGAAGCCTAGACAATATATACAAATCTATTCGCTCGAATTCTTGAAAATGTCTGTTGCAAAATTCTTCATAGTATATTCATATTGGCGTATAGAGCAAAATGATATATTGTAAGCTTTTAACGAAAAGCTTACCTTGCTTCAGCGAACTAAAAAGCTTCCACAATAAAGAATACAATTTAATATAAACAATATATTATATTTATATTTAATCGATTTAATATCGATTAATTATAAATCGATATATATCAATTTAATATATATTTTAATTTTTTACTGTTAGATGAGCTCATGTTTAAAAATTATTTAATAACTTTGTTTTATTTTAGAATATCGGGTTAAGTCTTTACTTACAGGCTAAACCTAACTAGCTTCGTGAAACTAAAATCTATGACTGCAAAAAATTCCTGCATGTTAAAAAGATATGTATAGATCTGAGTTTCTGTGGTATAAAAAGCACCAATAATACAAAATTGAACAATAACTACGTAATATGTATCGTACTGTGCTTGAAATACGTATTCAGTTTTGTAAGCAAAATTCAGTATTTTTACAACGGGCTTGAGTGAGAACATTCACAAAATGAAATCACTTAACAAGCAAAATATTTACTTGTTCGACACTTTACTGCAAAAAAGCGTTACTTTTTTTCCCCACTTTTACTTCCTGACTCTTAACAGCACTGCGGTACTTGTCGTTGCAAATGCTTTTTTCACAGTACTTGAATAGCATTATCTTGTATCATGAAGTAAAGGATATGAAAAAATTAGGAATTTTATCTTTTACCATCAACTACTAACTGAAATTTCTTAGTCTAAATTTTCCTTGGAATACCTAAACTGGTTAATGATTGAAATGTTTGAATATTCCATAGTAGCCTGTCTAAAAGTTCTCACTTCCGGGTTCAAAAGAACAGGTTTTTGCTGGAATGTGTAAAATTATCTAAATTGTGTACTGCTGTTAAGCATGAAACATTCACAATTTTGATAAAACTGCTCCACTTTGTTAAACATCCCGTTTTATTTCCTCAAATGCTTGATCGTGTTGCAAAGTTAAACATTGTCATAGCATGGCGACTGTTCTCAGTATTCTACTACTGCTTACCAGAATAATCTAGGATTAGTAGAATATGCATTGAGATCTTTGTACAGCGTTCAACGATTGCACTGCCAATTACTTCTGGAATTTAGACCTTCAAATTAATAAAAAAGTATCAAAATTCTATATGAAATGCGTCTGTCATGGAAACAATCTCCGATTCGATGACACTATGGATTTTCAAAATTATGTTTACTGTTTATTATCAAAAATTGTAATTAATTACTTCCTAATAGTGAAATAACCGTCTTAATTTAAAATACTGAAATATTTCTTTTTCATTGCTTAAATGATTAGCAATATATAATATGCTTTAATTATCATTTAATAGTTTCGAACATCTTGCCCTTATTTCTAACCAGTTGGTTCAGTTTTAGAATATAGCAATATAAAGGGTGCAATGAACTTTTCCATGTTCCCATATTTCAGAAATCTTTGTTACTTAACTTAAGATCTACATTAATACTTAAGCAATTTTTGGTGATTTTAACATTTATTGCAAAACGATATGCAACACTGTAGTTTTATTACAAAATTAAGCTTCGATATTTAATTCGGATAGTTTAGAATGTGATTATGATAGGGTAAAAAAATTATTTCATTAATAGGGCTAAAAAAATATATCCTCAAGAACTGTAAGCATAAGTAGCTAAATGATTAATTGATTCAACTTTTGCAAATCCCAGTATTACTAAACAACCTGAAAGCCATTTCGGCGAGTTCAATGTATTTAAACTTTAAAGCTTTTTCTGTATTTCGCTTTTACATTGAGAATTTTTTTTTTTTTTTTTTTTTTTTTTTTGGAAAAAAAATTATGAAGGGAAAATTTAATTGAAACCTTTATATTTTCGATCTATTGAGAACTCACTCTAAATTTATTGATTGAAAAGCGTCGTCTGCTTGATTGAGAAGCGACAATGGAAGAATTTTCTGCAACTAGTCACTCCAAATAGAAATAAAGTATAATTCATTAGTTGACTTTTAAATAGGAAACAATCTCATGATATTTGCGATTTAATGGCAATAAAATATTATGTTGAAAACTTCCGAGTGCTTTTCTTGATATATTAATTTCCTAATATATTAATTATCTAGAAGCTATTAAAATTTTTCTTTTTATATTTCGTATGAATAAAGAAAATGAAAATGGTGTGTTGGTGTATTTAATTATGGCAAAGCACACTAGGGCTATCTGCCTAAGGGGAGGGATGCCTTTCGTGGAGGACTTTCTAAGGGAAACTGGCTCGTATACACGTTACACATGGGGAAAACCACGAAAACGCCCATGCAGCCAGCCCGTTCGCGGGATTCGAACCTCGGACCGAACTACCAGTGTTCAGCGACTTTTCCACTCGGCCGCTGGTGAGCTGTAAAATAAAAATGAAAAAAAAAAAAAATTAGTGAGGCGTTTTCAATGAGATATTGAGAAATTTAAGTGTTATGTAAATCTGATTTTGAAAGTTACTTTGTTGAATACCTATTATTCTGTGCAACTTTCTACGTTCAGCTTTACAATGATTATCCAGCTTAGTATTTATAAAGCTTTAAGTTCACTTAACAGTATCGAATCTCACCCCGTCATCCAGCAGTAATGTGATCTTTCTGCCGGAAACTTGTAATACTCTGAATAGCTTACAAAATAAATATTTTGGGACGACAAGAC